GAGTGATGACATGTTGTAAACGAAGAAATGTGAGCTGGACGTTCGGGTCGAAGAGCAGATGAATATTGTTATAAATTTTGTTGCGTTTATGGAATAAATCGTTCATTTTCAAGTTTCAAGAAACGCTGAATTATTTAAGTGTAAGATGGGACGGTTGCATGTGCTTTACTGGGAATAGTTTTGACCCTTTTCATAAACGGCCGCCATATAGTCTGACTAACCTCGGTTTTGGGTAGATAATTTGAAAGAATATTTACTCCCAAACGAGGTTAGGGAGGTTAATTTAAATGTATACAAAATAATTTTAAATTGGCAGCCATTTATCATTCCTAGAGTCCAATTTGGAAGTAATTGATTTGGAAGTAACTGGATGAGAGAAAAATATTTTTTTCGAATTTAATTACTTCCAAATTGGACAAGCATGTAGTTCTTTACCTACTAATTATGTAACATTCCAAAATAGAGGAACATGGTGTATGGCAAATGTTGGGCCTGATATACGGCATATATATGTTGAACATGATATACGGTGAATGTTGCTTGTAGATATGCAATTTTTCTTCTGGTATTCAACTAAAGATCTTACTTGTTTGCTATGTGATATGTTGAGTTGAACACTTGCAGAGAAATTCCATATCTGTGTACATCCATGTATTATTCTATATGTATCTGTTGACTTTTTTCCTGATTGTATTTCTTACCTTGGGAAATAAACCCATAGGACCCGCAAGTATTTTATGCATTGTTTCATATTTGACATATTCGCATTACACCTCTAGTGGGATATTTTACTGGACTGGTTTGACTCCAGAGTATTCTCTATGGTAAACTCATTTTTCCTTACTACAGATGGACTTTACAGCCGTAAGGATGGCAACAGATGGAGATTTCGAAGCCCTTCATTTGGTTTGCCAGGGCGACATACTTGCTCTGAGATCATTTGTTCCAAGTACAGACAAGACAAAAGAAGAGCGAAAATCCAAACTTCCGAAACTAACCCATCTACTTGGTACAACTTCCAGAAAATCCAAGGCAGCTTCTAGTAGGGGAAAGTCTTGTCCATCCTATGATTACCCTCAATAACCACCTTGTAAAAAGACCCAGACTTCTAAAAAGATCCAGATTGGGTGGCAGCATTATAGTGAGAATGAAAAGCGATATGTTAGTGTACGACTTGTGAAAGGAGGAGGAACAAGGGAAATTTCTGTTCCAATTGAAAGTTCATATGTAGAGGTGCTTAGAATAATGAAAGAGGTTTATTTCCCCGATGGGATGTCCACATTTGGTGATGGAGATATAATGACATTTAAAGTTGGAAACTTTAAAGGAGAAGTACAGGAGCAGTTCACACTGGCAAAGTATATTGCTAAGTACAAACTTACCAAAGTTAGACTTTACCTCTTGACCAGGATCATTGATGACAATGACAGTGAACTATTGAAACCAGTTTTTGACAATGGACAGGACACAGTTTCTGATGGTTTGCTTGGTACCTCTGATGAAAGAAATTCATTGAGGGAAGATCAGGACAAAGAATATCTGGATTCTTTGAGAAAAGATCAAGAGAAAGAACAAGCGAAACAGGAAGAGCTCCTCTGTCGCCCAGAAGAATTTGCAATTCAAGAAAGTCTGCGTGAAGCAAGAGAAATGAGGGTGCCAGCTGAGCCTGACATAAGTGAAGTGCATGTGAAAGTATCGGTGAGACATGTAACACTGGGTGTTATTACACGCAAATTTCCAAAGAGTGGCCATGTAGGAACTGTATATGACTGGGTGGGGTCACTCAGTTTGACCCCAGAGTATTTTACCCTCTCTATGGTTGGCAACATGGACCTTAACCCTGCATTGCCGATTGAAACTGTGGACCAGAAAACACTGTCAATGCATGAGTGTGACGAAAGTCCACCATTCCCTGATGAAACGGTATGTTTCCATGGATTTGGGGCACCATCTGAAATGCCATCTGAAGGCGACATGTGAGAGCCTGTTTCAGAGAAGCCACCTCTTGTCTTGCTGGAAGATGATGAGTAAGTGGTAGTCTTAATGATTTTTATTACATCTTCATACCTCCTACTGTCAGGTCGTTTCTAGGCGTTTCTACGTCTGGCACAAGCTACCGTCTGATTATAGAATCTTTTATAGGCCACATTTGATATAACAAAATTCTAAATAGGACTGAGGATTTATGGGCAAACTTCATTCTATATTTGGTTTCATTTGGCTTTCTTGGTTCTGAAGTCCCATCTTGGAATCACGAGAGAAAGTATGTTTTGTCCAGAAAGCCAGAGTCATGTTTGAATTTTGATATATTGAACATGGGCTACTCATTGTGCACCAACATTCCTTATTATTCAGATATTGTGGACCCAAAACTACCATATGTGCTTCTTTTCTAACAAGTAAAACACTTGAAGTGCATTCAAAGCTAATAGGTTTTTCTGACTTGTAAATATAGGAAGGACACTCCATCAGGAAGTTCTGAGGATAATCCAGTGGCAGTTGAATGAAGTTCTATTGATTCAGCTGGACGACAATTCAGGGAAGTTGTAAACAGTTTTTACATAGCTGACAACATGACGAAAGAGGAAAGGAATGAAGAGGGGGTAGGTTGTGTGTATAACGTATCTGTGTCAGTCCAATTACTGTCGACCCACTTGTTGATACCGCAAAAACCACGAGATTGATAAAACAGATGAGATGTACTTCAATCCTACAAAACTGTTTTAAGGAAATTTTCCTTAAGGCAGCAAATTTGTATATCCTCCCCTCTCCTTCTGTAATCTTAGCACTCCTCTCAAACTCTCAGCATTACTTATGGGAGGAGGTAAGATGCACCTTTTCTGCTAGTTTAGTTACCTGAAAACATTTATTGACAGTAATTATTGTACCTTACCAAATATACCAATTGAAGGCCACTGTCTTCTTGAACGCCTCTTCAAAGAAAGAGAGATTAACAGGTAACAGCAGGTAGTAGCAAGTTATGTCTATTTATGTTTATTTAGGACTTAAAGCAGAGAAGAATGGATGTGCTTGATAAGTTGTCTGGTGTAACAAACGTTTGGGTTCATCGAGAGACTGTCATGCGTGACCTTCTTAAAACTTACGAAAACTCAAGAGAAATAACCCAGCAGCTTGTCACCTTTTCTTTCCACGGAGAGGTTGGGATGGATGTAGATGGGCTAAAGAGAGAAGCTTATTCTCTATTCTGGAAGCCAGCCCTGGAAGACTACTTCGAAGGAAGTTCTACATTTGTTCTGCGAGTAAGTCCAGAAATTGAGGAGTCCATGATGAGGACACTTGGACGCATTATCAGCCACCAATATGTCCTCACTGGCATATTCCCTGTTCATATCAACAGGGCATTTATGGTGGCTACGCTCTGTGGGCGACAGGCAGTCAGTGATGAAGACCTCATAGAGGCTTTCCTGGAATACATATCAGAAAATAAATCCCAGGAGTTGAAAGCAATCCTAGCATAGTCAGACCAAGGAGAGCTCTCTGGTGAATTTTGTGAGTTTTTGCTGGATTTTTTCAGTGATTACCAGGTTACCAGAAGGCCACTGGCTTCCAACCTCAAAGCCACTTTGGTGCACGTAGCCAAGAATGAGTTGTTATCAAAACCTGCTATGGCGATGGATGGTATGAGAGAAGGTCTTCGGGATAGAGACTGAAAATTTGTGGAATTGTTCGAAAGAGGATGTAACAAAGATGTATCACATGATGCAGCTCACGCCAAAACGAGTTATTGCAGTGCTTGCAGAAGAGCCATCTACCCATCTAAACAAGTCCAAGGCCAAAATTTTCTCTTACCTGAAGAAATACATAAGGTGCCTCAGCCGTAAGGAGCTTGGCCGATTTCTTCATTAGGTCACTGGTAGTCCTGTACCAGTTGTAGAGTGTATCAAGGTGATGTTTCATGTTAACGAGTTAGGATCCTTACCACACCCTCGTACACATACCTGTGCAGCTTCAATTGACTTGCCTGATGGTGGGTATGCAAGTTTTAACGACTTTAGAATTCAAATGGATTCTCTACTAAACAATGAACTTGCATGGAAATTCACATCGTTGTAAGCAGCTTGAATGTAAGCAAATTCAATGTAACAGTGATTCAGAGTATACAGAGATTCAGCTTAACAATGATTAACTTAAAAATGTTGAAGTGACTTTTTATTACTGGTACTGTTTGTTCCTCTTAAGCCTTTTCACTTTTTAATTGCACGTTGTTGGTTAAGACTTGAATGATCCTTGTGATCATATTTCATGCAATAGCTGTAGAAAACGTTATTGACTCATATCTCGAGTGGTGCTGGTACACTCGTCGGAGTAATAAGGATAGTGCTGCACATCACAATAGGGAATTAATTATTCCTTTCCTGTTTTACATGTCATTCATGTCTACTCCAATAGGTTATGTTAACGTAGCACTTTTAAAACGGAATGGAAAATTGCTCGTTACCTGCTCTTTATTTTGTTGTTCTACCTTGTTGAGTTCATAGATTTCGAATTACCAGGCCAGATGATCTCTTTGCAACACATTGTACTATAATAAAGAGAGAGAATGATGGGCCACATAATTTCTCTCAAAAAGGTGTGTAATTTATGACTGAAAATAATCCTTTCTTAGTGTCAAGTGTTTACATTCCTTTTTACAGTTAGAAAACATTGAAAACGAAGAAGAAATAAAGTTGATTGTAATTAGTATTTTCAATTTTTTTCCTTACTCAGCTCGTTATCCAGCATATGGAAAAACATAGCGGCATTAGATCTGACCAACAATAAATACCTTGCGATGTACATTTGACCATACTGAATATTTTGCGAACCTAACACAACCCAAAGGCCACATAGCAAGCTTTGCTTTTGCGTGTACCAAAAACATTGTTCATGCTGGGTAGCCTGTGAACATTAATGAAATCAAACCATTGTTCTATGGTATGGCATTAATGTGGTCCAGTAAATCTAAGTAGAGTTGGAGAGCTTCCTCTGCTGTAGTTGCTGGTTCTAGACCTTCATCCTCCATGATTAGTTGGCAGAGCTCTTTAAAGTAAGGACAACATCCTCTCACTTGTGGTTGCTCGGCGCACGAATCCTTAGCGATTTCAATCTCGTCCATGTCAACAGGAGTCATATAATCTTGACTCTCTATTGATGCTGGAACGAAGTAGAGTACATCTGGCTTTCCCGAGGGAGATTCCACATTGCTAGACGGCCGAATTCTGTGAATATTCCAGTCCAGTGCAGCTCTGTGTAGTTCACTCTGTGACATCCATGAAACAGAACTTCAGGCATTCGCGGTGTATTATATCATCGTAATAGAAACCAGAATCTCTCAAATCCACCATTCTGCACATCCTTGCCTTAAACATCCCCACCATGCTTCAATTCTTTGATTTGCCGTAGATTTCCCATACATGAAACTCTTATCGCCTGCAAAGTCATCATTCATGGACCGCCGAAAGAAGCCTGAATAGCTACTAAGTTCTTGTTCTCAGATCCCCTATCTCCACGTACAATCCTTGCCGTACCTCCTAACTGTCTTGCGTAGTCTAAGAAATATTGAGCTACTATACGAGGGTCATTGTTTGAAGATGCAACCTCCAGCCATAGGATCCTTCGACTTAAGCCATCAATTGCACCATGAATGCAGAATCCAAACGGTTTTAGTTTGTCGTAGCCATCAATGTGCCATAAGTAATTTCGCCCTTTACACCTGTAAATTCGTCGTCGTAGTCTATGCTGTGACCTATGCTCTACCCCTTCAGGGTCAAAAACCCTCAAAACATGTTGAACGACTTCCCACGTAGTAACAAGACTGTGCCGATTGATGAGTCTTTGATGCATCGCTCAATATCCGAGAAGGCTTCCACTCCCCCTCAGTTCCTCTTCGACTGCCTCTACCACCTCATTCAAATTACTTTGACACCTACGTCTTGTACATCCCAACCATCTGAGTATTCTTTTCAATTGTCTTAATGAGATCCCGATACCATGTACACTTACCAGAAATAATGCAATTTCTGGTACAGTAAGCCCGAGATTAAAATAGTTCTTGATTATCTCGTTGCGCATTACTGCATTGTTCCTTATTGCAGGAGAGTAAGATGGAAGTGCTGCCAGCGACGTAGAGCACACCGTAATCAGAGTGAAAACGGTGAAAACCTTCATTGCTATACTGTAAAGCCAAGGCAAAACAGACTACTGATTAAGCTATCGAGTCCACGTTGTTTTCAAATAAAACAACCTGACCTGCCGATGCATGCGGCCTAGTGAGGTAGCCAGGCAGCTAAGTCGCAAGAAAGTAGCAGGAAAGTCGCAGCTAAGTCGCAAGAAAGTAGCAGCTAAGTCGCAAGAAAGTACTAAGTCACAAGAAAGTCGCAAGAAAGTAGCAGAAGAGTCGCAGCTAAGTCACAAGAAAGTAGCAAGTCGCAAGAAAGTCGCAGCTAAGTCGCAAGTGAAAAAAAAGAGAGAAAAGTGTATGTCCCTTTAAAGCCACCGTATAATTGTGGCAAAACATTATCTAACAAGCTACAAAAACTACAAAACTGTGCTGCAAAAGTAATAACTTCATCGGGCTATGACGCTGATGTTGATTCCTTGTTTCACAAAGTCAGCCGGAAAGACTTGCAATTTCAATATCAAGTTCTGAAAGCCCTAATTAATGGTTTTCAAGTCTTTAAACAGTCTTGTTCCCGAATATCTCACTTCTAAATTTGTAATGCGCAATGAATCAAACTATGCTCTGAGGGACTCAGTTAACAAACTTGTTGTTCCCTTTCCGAAAACTAACGACATGAAAAAAAAATTTTTTTTAAACATTTTTAATGCAATAAAAACGCTATTTACAATGATAATAAGTTAACAACTCTTATAACCTATCAAC